TTTCCATCTTCATATTTTTCTCCTCATCAGGTCTGTGTTTTCCTCTACCTTTTTTTTCTTTTTTTAAAAAAAGATTTTATTTATTTATTCATGAGAGTCAGAGAGAGGCAGAGACATAGGCAGAGGGAGAAGCAGGCTCTTCACAGGGAGCCCAATGTGGGACTAGGATCATCCCCTGAGCTGAAGGCAGATGCTCAACCGTTGAGCCACCCAGGCATCACATACTCTATCTTAAGCATATGGAATTTATTTATAATAACTGTTTTAGCATTCTTGCCTACTAATTCCATCATCTCTGTCATTTCTGCATCTGGTACCATGGGTTAATTTTTCTCCTGGTATGGATTCTATTTTCCTGCTTTTAAAATGCCCAATAATATTTTATTGGATGTACAACACTGAATTTTACATTGCTGGGTTTTGGAATTTGTTGTTTTCCCTTAAAGAATGTTGTACTCTGGGGATCCCTGGGTGGCGCAGCAGTTTAGTGCCTGCCTTTGGCCCAGGGCGCGATCCTGGAGACCCAGGATGGAATCCCACATCGGGCTCCCGGTGCATGGAGCCTGCTTCTCCTTCTGCCTATGTCTCTGCCTCTCTCTCTCTCTCTCTCTTTCTCTGACTATCATAAATAAATAAAAATTAAAAAAAATGTTAAAAAAAAGAATGTTGTACTCTGTTCTAGCATGTTTTTATTTAGGCAAAGTTTGATCACTTCAAGCTTGCTTTTAAATTTGTTAGTGTAGGTTGGGAGTAGCCTTTAGGGTAGAGCTAATACACCCCTACTACTAAGGCAGTATTTTCTGAGGAGTACTTAAATTCCTGCTTATTGTGAAGTCTTTCCACTCACAGAGAGCCTTGTGTGAGCTCTAGGAATTATTCAGCCTACTGCTTTGTGCAGATTCTTTCCCTGGCCCCAAGTGGCTTCTTCTGACATATGCAGAAATCTAAACTTAGCCAAAGACTTGAGGGGATCCCTTTTCAGTTTCTCTCTTTACAGTCCCTCTTCTCTGGGCTCTGTCCCACAAATACAAGTCACCTAAGTCATCCCTATCTCTATCTCCTCTACCCAGTGAGACCATTGGGCGCTCTCTTTGGTTTATTCCTTCCTGTACTGCAGCCTGGAAACTACCTCTAGGCAGTTAGCTGGGGCAAGTGTGAGACTCATTTCATTTGTTTCTCTTCTCTCAGGGATCTTGGTCTTGGGCTGCCTGTTATTCAGTGTCTGGTTTTCTAGTTGGTTAAGGTAAGAGTATAAACCTAATCCTGTTATTTCTTCATGGCCAGAAGCAGAAGTCCACTCTGCCGTATTTCAAAAACATTACAAACAATCCAGATAATAAAGTATATCTAGTTCAGTAATTAAATTTCCTTAAACCTGGCTAAAAATAGCTAGGTTTTGCTTCTACCTAAGCTACACATAGTCTCTGAACTTCAGAAGTCTGTCATCTGATACAATATCCTGACAAATTTCAAACTGTCTTTGGATCTAAGACATATTATATACACGGTAAGAGCAAAGGAACAAGAGGAGTGGGTTTAAAGGTTTAAAAAGGCTTGGCTGACTTGAAATAAGGCAAAGTTTCTTGGGAAGGTCTTTGGCTAGATGGGGTTGCATACAGATGGGCATAAGTTTGTGCACCGTGTGTGCTGTGAATAAAGAAGCAGGCTTCATTTTATAGATGACAGAAGATAACATTAAAGTTGTAAATTTTTTAGATTTTTAAGGATAGGAAACTAAAACAAATTGAAATCATGAAGTCAATTTTGAATTACAATTCATTTTTCCTATTAGTTTTCCTTCAAGAAGGTGAATTCAATCACATATGAAATTCCAAACTCACAAAACAATAATCCACTTAAAGGTTTTGTGGAAGAAACAAAATGGCTTTTTTAGATATCTCAAAGGCCAGGTTTATTGCACCTTGCAGAGCTAATACAGGCCTTCAGTTCAACACATTCCATACAAGGATACTCCGAGCCTTCAAAGTGTTTACAGAGGTCTATACACAGCACTTTATTTTTATAATAATGCTGCAAGATAGTCAGGGTCAGAAATATGGTCTTCAGTTTGCAAACGAGGGCACAATTTATCTAGTGAGTGAGAGATCTAGGCAGTAACACTCTAGTTTTCTTGACATCTTCAAAACTCACTAAAATTTAGCTCCTTTGACTTCATCTTTTTTAACATGGCAAGGTACAAACTTCATTGTGTTCATGATGTATCTGATACTGGTCAATCTAACAAGGGACATAATAAGGTTTGCTGAAAAGATGCATGCATGTGAAGGTATGTCTATTAGAGAAGTCAGGCATATATGCTATGAGGGGCAACAGCTTAGAGCTATATAACATAAACCATCTTACACTATAGACTAACCCAGGATTTTCATTAAAGCCTTGTTATTTAAACAAAAGGACAAAGAAGTTCAGAACATCAAAATGAAATTATTGTCCTAAGCAAGTGATACTGCTTTGACTATGCTACTTACAGAGCACAGGACTTTAATAGTTTTCAAACTACATTTTAAAAAGCAATTGTTTTTTAAAAAATAGAAAAGCAACTGTTTAACTGGAGAAAGAAGCCATGGCATTAGGAAGATATGTGTTGGCTCAGAATGGCAACAACTCCAACATTACTCACAGTGTTCAGCCACATTTTCAGAGTTGACACCATATCCCTTTTGAGAGCTGATGGGCCATTCCTGCCCTGGCACACCAGATGGACAAGAGCCATTGTCTGGCACGTGAAGTGAAATGGAATATTCCAAGGTTATACTAGGCCAACAGACACTACAAGCTAAGTCATATGGCTATAAAGATAACACTAAATAAAGCTCTTTTAAAATAAACACAAATAAAAAATAGTCTGGATATCCTTTTCTTTCTTTCTTTTTTTTTTTTTTAAACATTTCTCTGGGTGAAAGAAAGGTTAAAAGAAGAGGGAAAGTAGCAGGTGACTAATTAGGATAATAAAAGGAAAGATAAAGAGAAGCAGCAGCAGAAAAACAAAGAGGCTGGAAATACTGATAAAAGAGAAGAGACTGGCTAATAGGAAGAGGAAGAAAGGAGAAAGACTAACCAAGGATAGATATACCACAAAGCTCTGGCCTAAGAACATAAATATGTGCTGGTCCATTTCACTTTGCCATTAGCTCCAGCTCAGTGACTCTTATGGAGGATAAGGATACCCTGCAGACTTGAGGGAGGAGTCAAATAAGAGCCTGGGGTGAAGCTGGAGTTTGTACGTATGTACTCTGAAAAACACATACAGTTGATCAGTTATTCTTATATTACAAACCACAGGAAGTAAAGCACAAAAGAATCCCTGGGCTAATGTGGATAGGCCAAAGATGAGTAAGAAAGCATTGCAGGGTCACAAAGGCCGGGAAACAGTTATATAAAAGAAATTCTAGTATCTATCTCTTTCAAAAAATGATATGGGATTGTATTACTTCCTATATGACCTCTTGTGGTTCACTCTTTCTATTAATTGCTTCTTCTATTGGAATTTGTGAAAGAGGCAGTCTGTAGAAGGCAGTAATGAACAAGCTGATGTGAGAAAGTAAGCAAGATACCAGTGGTTCACACTACTTTGGCTATTTCTATATGCAGTCAGAAGGAAAAAAATCTAATGCTTCACCTGAAGAGTAGCACTATTCCTTCCAGTCTCCACACCTGGTCCCTGAAGACATTTGACAACTACTAACAAAATACAGAATAGTTTCATTAACCATTTCTCTGTACATAAAGATTCTTTAAAAGTCAGTGTGATCACAGAAGGAGCTCCTCAGTGCTGCATGGGTGGTGTCAGTGGTCTCAGAAGGTGGTACTCCATGAAAGGTCACCTGAAAAAGGGAATGTGACAGCCACGTGGGGAACTGTACCAAGACAGAAAGGAGATCAGAGCACCAGGGCCTTTAGACTGAGGGACCTTCTGAGTACACAACAGGCAGTCGACATCCTCTATAGTGTTTTATGCTGTTACCAATTTTTAAGAATATATTCACTTTTAAAACTTACATAAAGTCCATGCTATGTCATTTATAAACCAGGCACAGGTGTTACTAATAAATATTAAAATACTTTGATTTACCAATAACAAACCTATTGTATTAACAAACCACCACATTATAGATATGGACTAAATGAAGACAGAAGTCTAAATTGCAAAATAAATTAACCAACAAAGAAATAGCATTTAGTTTCAAAAGTGGCATATAGTGAGGATCTAAGAGAATTACAAGAAACATATCAGCTATTTAATAATCTCATCACTTTTTACATATTTTAAGTGATAGAAAAGACACCTGTGGCAAATGCCTACCTGGGAGTAACACCTGAAACCTTTCTGTTTGTGTGGAGAGCAAGAGACTACAGAACAGCTGGACAACAAGCACAGGAAAAATAAATCTTGTCATTGGAACTAAACTGCTTAGCAGTTTGACACAATTACGTCTCTCCTGATAGAGGCTGTAAATAAACCCAAATAATAATAGAATGTTACGGTAAAAAAAAAGAAAGTGACTCTGGAAGGAAAGAGGACTAATTTTAAGGAGTGACAAACTTACTACTGGTCCTAAACTGTAAACAATGAAAGGAAAAAAAAAACCCACTGGGAGAGGTTATTTAGGGGACTATGAAAGACTTTTGACCTGAAAAACACAATTTTTGCAAAGTTCTTTCCCTATCTTAAAAAAAAAAAAAACCTTTTTATTCTAGAATGAGAAAAATTAATCTTTTAAGCCCCCTTTCACCACTGTAATCTTTCTAATCTTCTAACGATCTTCATTTAAGAAATAATAAAGAAAAAGTCTATTAAAATCTGGGCAAAATGTTTTTGACTCTTCAGAAATACCTCAAGTAAGGAAAAGAAAGTCTTGAATCACTCCTTGGGTAAACACATCTGAGTGAAAGACACATTCCCATGTGAGGAAAGGATGGTGTCTGTTTATGCCAAAAGTCTGCTTCACTTTTCAATTTATTTGTGCTTTCAGAGTCTTCCATTGACAACAACAGAAGAAACATGTAGCTTTAACAGTTCTGCCCAATCCCCTAGACAGCATCAGATGCCAAAGACCTGAAGATACTTCATGGGATAAAAACACCTCTAATACAATTTGCAGTATTTTAAACTAAGAGACACTCATTAATTGATTTTAGTGGAGGAAGAGGGCAGTTTTGGGAGAAGGCAGAAATTGGTAAGTACTGATCTACACCACCCATTTTCTTATTAGTGCTTCTCTAAACAAAAAAAGAGATCATTGGTGATTTCTAAAAAGGAAAACCCCAAAATGACATTTTCTGAAAAGTAAATTGAAGAGAACTTTCATCATAAATTAATATATACAGCAGCTTTATAATGAGATCAACTTTCAAACCAATAAATTAGAGGTTATTGTTGCAGGGACAGCAAGAGACTTCATAACAGAAAACTTGCAGCAACGGCTCATCCCCATGTCTAGATTTATATTAATTAAGGAGCAATCCATATGCATAGGGAAACACTAAATAGAAGCAGGTCAAAGCCAGGGCTAAACATTGAGGTCAGTGTGTCTAAATTTACACAAAGATTATAATGAGACAAACTTAACTGACAAATATACTCTGCTGAGTCCCATCAAATTCGAGTTTGTAGAGCAAAGAGCCTCAAATGAAAATTAAATACTTATCCTTAAAGGATAGTTGATTTAAGAGAAATTTAATAAGCATGTATTATTTTTATGAGAAAAAACTGATGATACTTTCGTTTTGAAAAAAAGAAAACCCAATACCGAGACATATTCAAGGAGTACATCCAGACCCTTTTTTTTTTAACCTTTAAGATATCCTTGTGCCACCATGAAAACTATGAATACGCAACATAGCCAGTTCCCCAAATGTAACTCCCAAAGGAGCTTAAATCAATGGCTCCTTTGTCTAGTATGATAACTGCAACTTTAAATCACCTTTCCAGAGAATTAAACAAGCAAATGAAAACCGCCCCCCCCCAACAAGTAACCTTTCACTTAAAAATTTTCACCAAATTGGACAGATTATTTTGAACTCAGATGTGATGAACTCAAAGCTATCCACAATATTCTGAATGTGAATCTACTGAAAGCATGCATTTTCTGTAGGAATGGAACCATTCTGAATAAGGCTAATGTTAAGCTACACTAGCCCTATCAGCCCCTTGCCTATATAAAACTGTAGACATTCCTCAGGTAGATGAATCCTCCTAGAGAGTGGCTGGCACTCTTATGTGCCTTTTTCCCCAGTGTAGCAGGGTTATTTACTATTCATGCACTAGCTGAGCGATCTTTTCTAAAGCTCGTCTTATAAAAATCTAATGCTGGTACTCAAAGCTAGATAAACTAAACATCTCCTCTAGGTCTCCATTAGTCCTAACTTCCCCCTATGTATTTGAATTAGACTGTGTATGAACATGTTTCCATCACTAGAGCCAGTCTAGACAGAAAGTCAGTCACTGGAGTATGCATGTGGCCACAATGCTCTGTATAAAAGGTTATGCACCTCACCGGTGCAAGCAGTTGCCCTTTAAGGTACTACCCATACCTGCTGACAGGCACAGTTAGATAGGTTTTTGTAACTTGCCCTCAGCACTTGAATATTACAAAAAAATATGACTTATTTGGGGAAATGCTCTCAGAGGGATGGCAGCACTGAATTAGGGGGAAAATACCTTTCTATTTTCAAGAAAAGATAAATTGGGGCGTTTATTATTCAAGCTTATAAGTGCTTTATTTGGCAATAGGTTTCTCCATAGGATATTCTTAAACAGGAGGTTTTTAAAATATATCTAAAACATTTTGATTTATGATTTTTTTCCCAGGAACACCATGAGTTGTGGAAATATGCCTATAGCTTAAAGAACTCCTATATTGCTTATTACACAAATTCCACACCAATAGAACGTGACCAAAAATTCAACACCCACAAGAAGCAATAAGCTTCAGGATCTCTTATAGGACAACTATATGGAGTAGGAAAAAAGAAAGAAGTTATTGCTGTTGTGTACACTAGTAATTAGTCTGACATGTCAGAAGCATCTTCTTTTTTAAGTAAGAATTATTGTGAGTGTTGTTACTGGAAGCACCTTGCCCCAAGCCAGATACTAAAATGGAAGGCTTTTAGAAAGTAAGGAAATATAAAGATAGCTGCTTGGTAATTAAGGGTCTCAGACTCAGACAATTAGTAGGGTTATATTAATTCTTCATATTTCCACAATTATAATATTTCTCCCAAAACATGACCTTTAATATCCAAATTAAAAAGGCAACATGTTATTCAATCATCCAGATCTTTTGTCCACACAAGTAAATCTCTGGACAATTAGAGGATTTTTATTATTTTGTTTCAGAACTCTCAAATTCCGTATTAAAACAGTATATTGTTATGATTTAAAATATACCTTATTTGCATGTGTTGTTTAAATAATTTACCTTCATTTCTCCTAAAAAGAATACTGACTACCAGTTTGCTACTTTCCACAGTGACACATATGGCACCTTTCATAATTCTAATGCAGTGACCTATTCTGAAGTTTACTGTATTATATCTTTTAAAAAGGGTTGTCATAAAAGTTAATAGTGTGAAGCAACATCATTTAAGAATATTTAGCCTGTCTGAAAAAAGTCCTTGATAACCTATAAAAACACCCAAACCTTAAATAAAGATAAGTTTTGAAGCTGAGTAAGGAATACATTAAGGTTCATTATAACCATTTTCTCTATTTTATGGATGTGAAAATCCCACTTCTTCCCTATCTTTGGTAGAGTCTAAAGCCATCTAGTTTAAACACTTTACTAGTATTTCCTACATGTGCTGAAACATAATTAGGTCTTCATTTACTTAAAATCTCCTACAATTCATTTAAAAATTACTAATTTGGTTGACATCCTAATTATACCAAACTGATGAGATTTTAGTGCTGTTACAGTACACATCAATCAGAATCCTACAAAGGATGAGTGGACAACTATATAGGAGTAAAAAACAAACAAAACAAAACCAGAAAATATATTACTCTCCCAGGAATTCATCTTCCTGCTTTAAGAATTTCTGTAACATAGCTATTACTTGGTTCAGAGCTATTTCCTGGATCAGAGGTAAGGAAACCAGTGAGAAAAATAAACATAAGCATGATAAATACAAGGTTGTGTTTTCTTCTTTACCAAAACAGAGCAATTTCTCCAGTGGCTCTTTTCTTTAAATGAGATGTGAAGGTAAAACTTTTACAGGCATATTTTGAATGTGACTCATATATCAGCAAGTAAGGTATAGTTTTTACCATCTTTAAAAGAATCAAATTACCAAGGAGATAGACGTACTTAAGAAAGTAAAGTTTTTGTAGATCAGCATTTTTGGACAATGATATATAAAAAAAATAATAAACAGCTAATATTCTTTTTAACCTAGGCAAACTGGATGTTCAGGAAAGATATCAAACTGATTGTTATACTAAATAACGACTTACCTACACAAAGCAGAAATATCAAGGGTTTAATTAGGATACCTGCTTTGTCATGCAATCATCTCTCCTCTCTATACTGAAGCTACCAATCCTTTCCTGGCAACTCTGACTCAACTTCTTTTTACTTGTTTCACTACCTGGCAATCTAAATTCTAAACTCATGATCAGATAATTTTAGCTTTCTTTTCTCATTCTGTGTTTTCTAGAACATCATGATACTTTGATAAAGTCCATAAAACTGGATCTTTTAGTGTATTACATTATTATATAGTAGTATCTCTTGTAAAATAACTAGAGTTCCTTTTACAGAATGACATGGTAGGGAAACACATTTTATAAATATATAAGTAACCAGAATCCATACTTAAAAATTTCATTCATTCATTCATTCATTCCAGATAGAGAGAAAGAGAGGGGCCCATTAGCAAACAGGGGAAGGGGCAGAGGGGGCAGAGGGACAAGCAGACTCTGCACTGACCTCGGAGCCTAATTGTGGGCTTCATCCCATGAACCTGAGATCTTGCCCTTAGCTTAAATGCTGAATTCAAGTGTCAGATGCTCAACTGACTGAGCCACTGGTACTTTTTAATTTTTTTTATTCACGAGAGACAGAGAGAGAGATAGAGAGAGAGAGGCAGAGACACAGGCAGAGGGAGAAGCAGGCTCCATGCAGGGAGCCTGATGTGGGGCTTGATCCAGGTCTCCAGGATCATGCCCTGGGCTGAAGGTGGCGCTAAACCGCTGAGCCACCCGGGCTGCCCCCACCCCTTTTTTTAAACCAAATGTATAATGGTACAGAATCACTTCTGTGAAACTTCTTTAATTCATAAAACATATGAATCCATATTTCCAAACAGATCTGAGGAAGCTGATGGGACCTGTGGTGCAAGAGGGGGCAGTGTGCCAGAATTCTACAGATAATACTGAGTTAGAACCCAAAGTCCTTTATACATTTTTTTGGACTTTACTTACTCTCCTGGTTTTTAAAATACGAGGTAGATTGACAACCTACATATAAGTATAGCTTTCCTTTACATAAGGTGTCAGAGAAGTTAAATGACTATGAATTATAGCCTATCTATATCCACATTTGGAAGCACTGATTAGAATGACTTCTGGAATTTATCATTTTGACATTTTAGAAGAAAGCCAATTCTTCACAAAGAAAACAGCTTGAAGTTAGATATATGTTGTACCATATATTTTTACTTCCTAATTTTCTCACTTTTAAAAATGTCATAGGCATTAGGAGAAACCTTATGTCTATGCTCCCATATTTAATGTCTTAAAAAAAAAAAGAATTTTGCATTCCTGCTAAGACCTGACATCAACAACAGTCCATAATAAACAGGTAAACTTATTGTTTTCACAGCTTTATCTAAATTTCAGTTAAAGAAACTGTTCGTTGCTAGTTCTCAAGTATAGCTGAGTAGGATGTGTAGAAGCCAGGTTCACGCTACTATTAGTAGGCAGCAGGATCCTCTTAAAAATACATTTACTGGGATGCCTGGGTGGCTCAGTGGTTGAGTGTCTGCCTTTGGCTCAGGCTGTGATCCCAGGGTCCTGGGTTCAAGTACTGCATTGGGCTCCCACAGGGAGCCTGCTTCTCCCTCTGCCTATGTCTCTGCCTCTCTCTCTGTCTCTCATGAATAAATAAAATCTTAAAAAAATCCATTTATGTACCTTTCATCAGTCTAATAACTCACAGACTTAGTGTAAATAATTTACACAAATACGCCTATGTTGAAATAATTAATTCTACTTTCTGGTCCCCATCCCCCCTAGCAGTCACTATCAATTATAAAGTTTTCATGTTCAGTAACACAATTTATTATACAATCACAACTAGGTCAAAGACAAGCAATTAATAACAATCAAAGTTAGGTATCTGAGACAATTTATGGATAAGGATTGTATCAGCTGTTTAAAAAATGGGTCATAAGTGATCTGAAACAAATGGCTGTGATGGAGAATGAGGAAGAAGCCATTCTCCAACCTTTTCCAGAATACTATAAAAGAGCCACTGGGAGCAAATTCTTCTTTCCATTTGCTCAGTCCATTTGAGAAGAATAAAGCTCTTACCAATAAAACTGCAGCTGTGCTCACCCTCAGCTTAATCAATGTGTAAGGCTGAGGGTTAATTAGCTGCGATTCTTGGTCCTATTTGTTGTTCTAATAAAGATATGCATAAATCTAAGAATGGGAGTAACCAATACTTGATTTTTATTTGGAAGGTGCTGGGAAGCAGGAGGAAGAGCTCATCCATCTTGGAGTGTTGATGTTCGTGAGTATGCTCAGAGCATTTTCATTTGACCTGGCCTGTGTAGTTCTGCCTGTTTGTGAAGGGTGGCCAATAAAGACTTCATGGTTGTATGAATGCAGGACCTTGATGGCCCAGGCTGAACCACAAGGCAGCTTTTAGTCTGAAGGCAGATGATAGGGGAATGAAATATACAGGGTGAGGGTCAGAGCCCAAATGACTCCCTCACAGAAAAAAAGAACCAAGTCGGGATGCCTGGGTGGCTTAGCGGTTGAGTGTCGGCCTTCAGCTCAGGGCGTGATCCCGGTGCCCGAGATCGAGTTCTGCATCAGGCTTCCTGCGAGGAGCCTGCTTCTCCCTCTGCCTATGTTATGTCTCTGCCTCTCTCTCTCTGTCTCTCATGAATAAACAAAATCTTTAAAAAAAAAAAACAAGAGTCAAATTACACACCTTTTACAGATTACACTGCTGCTCATCTTTGGCAGTTAAAAAGAAGTCCTTATTATGAAAAATTCCAAACATATTCAAATGTAGACTAGTATAATAAAACTCCCCAATGTACCCCTCACCCATCATTCAACAATTATAATGGTCAATTTCCTATCTTCCACATCCCTATCTACTTCCAACCTTTCTGGATTATTTTGAAGCAAATTCTAAATATCAAAGAACTCTATTTGCAATAGTTCCATTTTTCTAAAAGATAAGGACATGTAAAAAATTAATAATGAAAATTATTTTATTATATCAAAAAATTTCTGGCAATAACTCCTTAATATCAAATGGTTAGTTTTAAAATTTCTAATTATCTCATAAAAGCCATATATTTGGAGGATAATTTTTTAATGATATAAGTTTATAACACTTTGATAGCAACAGCAATAGGGTAGAAAAGTAGAACTGAGATAAATAAAATAATGCCAGATGACATCTAGATTTAGGTACTTTTCAGAAAAAAAAAGATTAGAAGTATTCTGAAAATTACTCTGTAAATAAAGCATCTGGTATAGAAAAACTGTTGAGCTGCTTGTTTTATCTCATAATTGTCAGTGTTCTCAGGATAGTTCATTTTGTCTGAGGCAAAATACCTGTTATTTTTAGGTCTAAAAATCGTAAGATAAGCATATTTTAAATAATAAACTTCAAATAAAGAATATGATAAACATATAAGAGTTAAAAAATAACCATAAAGCAGCAAAAACAAACTTCAAAAGACAAAATCAAATAGAACAGAGCTTAAATTTTGTATATGCTTGAAAAGAGAGCACTGACAAATAACATTCCATGAAAAATGGAAATCTGATTAGTACTCTAAACTTTAGCAATTCATGGATTAAATCATGTTCACCAAGGAGGATGAGGGACGCCTGGGTGGTTCAGTGGTTGAGCAGCGGGCTTCAACTCAGGGAATGATCCTGGAGACCCAGGATCGAGTCCCACATCGGGCTCCCTGCATGGAACCTGCTTCTCCCTCTGCCTGTGTCTCTTCCTCTCTCTCTGTGTCTCTCATGAATAAATACATAAAATCTTAAAAAAAAAAAAAAGGAGGATGAAACTCCAAAAGCCTGGAAAGTTGGTCCTAGCCTTTTGAGCTTATCATCCTCTACTTTGTTCCTCAAACAGGGTGACACAGCCAAACTCTGGCAGTCAGGTGATGTCTGACAAATAAGAGTGCTCTGGCAGGCTCAATAAACATCACTGTGAAGTGTGAACAGCCCTATAAAGGTCAGCAGTTAGACCCACCTAGACTGCTGCACTGGGAACAGCATGACAATCACCTGTGCACCCATTAACCAGCTGGTAACTGTTGGACATTTTGTCACCAGAGAGATAATCCTTCCTAGGAAATAATACAATAGGGACTACTAATTCAAGGTTAGGCTTTTTTCCAGGGTTTAAATCCAAGAGTGTCAGTGCTGAGGTGGTGGTATTTAGAGATTATTCAATACTCTCTTCTCTCAATTAAATTCATCTGAGTAGGTATTTATCAGCCATTGAATGTATGTCCATTTGGGGTCCTAAATACTCTGGGAAATGACATCAACAACAGTTCATGACTGTTTACTACAAAGGTCTTGCACATACACCTCATAGGAATGCTGTGATTTACGTAGGGCTGATGGTTATCTCTGATAAGAAACTGAGTCTGAGGAAAGTTAAGTGACCAGTATGAGTCACAGAACTAATTAACAGTGGAGCTGGTATTAAAATCTGTAACTGCCAACTATAAAGACCATGAAGTAGGATGTATAACCCTACCCTCAAACATTTAATATTTATTTCTGAATAGACCAAAATTCTTAAAACAGACAAACATAAATTATAAGTATGAAGATTGAATAAAAAATCACTATATGTAGGGAGAAGAGTGAGTAAACATTTTTAAAATTGGTTAAATTTATATCCTTAGGCAAAGCCTGCTTCGGAACTGATAGTATTTCTGGTGTTAAAACAGCTTTATAGATTCAGTATAGGATAATCTTATTTACTTGTATTCTATCAAACTTATATTTTTGATAATTTGAAGATAGATTAGATTGAAGTTTAAAGTTAAAACTGGGAGAAAAAAATCTGCAGATTGGACGTGACCTAGAAAAGAACGTGAAGTAAATCCATTAAACAAAGGAATGGATATTCTGACTTGTTTAAGATAAATAACTCTTTTTCAAGACTCTAGAAGTGTGATGTGATGTGCCATATAGATATATATCATGTGCCAATTAGAAAACATTTTTATACGTCCTAAAGAATAAACATTAGTTTGTTACCATATATTTTACAAACAATATTCTATTCTTTTATCAGATGGGCTACATCAAATTGATAAAACTTTAGGTTTAATATTTAGGCTTATTCTTTATTTTTTCTTTATCCTTTAGGCTTATTCTTACCATTAATAGGATATTTTTAAAATCTATTTATTTCATGTATGTGACTTTGCTTTAGCCAGGGATGATTTTTATTTTTGTTGTTTTGCAGAATGTATCTGTAGTTTTCTGAGACACTGCCAAAGGAAACTCTAATTTACTAAATAGAAATTGTTTTGATTGCTGAGAGAAGGCTTTGGTGGGATGAATGTATTAAGCAGGGATTACCTGTACAGAGAACAGCTTCCCTCATATGAGCTGATTCAGAGTGACAGGCCCATTTCAGCTGACTGGGAGACCAAGCAGGCCTAGCTATCACTGGGATAAGGAATGGCTCTCAGCACAGAGCTTCTTCTCTAAGTATGAAATTATACCTTATTCCAAGTGTAAGAAGTGAGAATATTCATCTAGTGCTCAAAAGTGCCTTATAAATGGTATTGTCTCAAAAGTTTCTTTTCTCCCTCTAGTTTTATTGAGATATATTTCACATAAAACACTAAGTTTAAGGTGTACAGTATGATGACCTCATGCCAAAAGTTTCTTGAGTAAGTGATTGACTTCCCAAAATAAATTTTCTCTTAAAATACCACTCCCCTCTAAATTTCAGCAACCCCCAGAGGTACTCTTTTGGGAGTGAGGAGGCAGATGCAGTTCCATGTTCCATTATTTCCAGAAGGACCACTTGGTGTGGGCCTTATATCACACAAAAAGTGTTTTTTAATGACATTACCTCCAAATAAGTTATACATAGTCATACAAATGGGACTGAAATAGGAATAACGAGATAGAAAGAACACAGTATTTGTCATTCAGTTTTAGATTAGTACAGCATTACTGAAATTCACTACTATTTGGGGGTAAAGGTATGAAATAATTTAAAAAACATTTTATAGTGATCTTACACAATTATATTTTATTTTCCTTTTGGTAGAAGTATTTTTATATTTCTATATGTCCTTATTTTAAAAAATTTCTATTAAACAATAAGTAACGTACAAAAATCAAACAGATTATAATTTCTTTATGTTTTATAGACCAGCCAGGATCCTAAGAGAGACCCTGATTCCCCTTTGTCATTTCTCTCTTGTCTAAAAACTTCACATTCTAGTGAGTTTATTCCTGAAGGTGGAAGACAGAACTTCATCTTCAATACTAATTAAATACTCAAAGAAGAATTTCTCATTGAAAAAAAATCAATGAAAACTCTGTAGCTACCTTTGGATTTTTGTAATTTCCAAAATAAACCCAAATATGTAAAAAACTGGCAGTGGGTTTGTCTTCTGGTTAAGAGAATCTGGTCAAAGACACATAATCACACATTTAGTATAACACAGAAAATAAGAACTTTGAGCATAAAGCACCCTAGCAAGCCACAAAGGCTTGGCTAACTCTCTTTAGTTTTCCTAGAAAGTTATAGTTCCTAGTTGACAACCATTCAGCTTTTTTGTTCTATTAGCTTGAAAGGACGCATGGTTATTAAAATGCCAACAAGGTCACGTCTGTGTGGTGCTGCTGGTTGTTATCAGATTTTAATAGCCCACATTTCTCAATTAACATCTTCTGTAGGCATCTAATTAAAGATTAAGCTATTCAATTTGAATTTTTATTATTATTTGGCAGCAGAATATAATGCATTCTTTAAATGCACTTCCCTACCCAAAATGATTTTTCATTAATTTTTATCACACTATGCTCTTTCCTTCTTGGCAAATAATAGGCCTTAAAAAAGACTAATGAGAAAACCCAATTTAAAACGAAAGCGGGGGATCCCTGGGTGGCGCAGCGGTTTAGCGCCTGCCTTTGGCCCAGGGCGCGATCCTGGAGACCCGGGATCGAATCCCATGTCAGGCTCCCGGTGCATGGAGCCTGCTTCTCCCTCTGCTGTGTCTCTGCCTCTCTCTCTCTCTCTGTGTGACTATCATAAATAAATAAAAAAATTAAAAAAAAACTTAAAAAAAAATAAAACGAAAGCGGTTACATGCTATGGCAATTTAAAATCAATAATAATAATAGTAGTTATAATAGTAGTGGTGGTGGTGGTGGTGGTGGTAGTAAACAATTCACTAAGGTCTGACATTTAAGTCTTGAATAGACTTATTCAAGAATTCAATATTGGACTTAAAGTCTCTTACCAGGGTTGCAATCTGTAAGAAGTGAGCAGATGGAGAGGAGAACTTTAGAAATGGTTAGGGCTGGACTCCAGTTGTCCTTTAGGATATCCAGACAGATGACACCCTGGCTGTTAATATTACAGTGATAGATTCTTGTTCGGAAGGTAACCTAGAAGAAAATGTAAAGTTGTTATAAATAGATATACTTTTTATTAGACAAAATATTTCAAGGGTCACTGGTTGAACCATATACTTAAATTTCTCCTCAGGCACGTAAGAAGAAATCAATAAACAAAATCATTATTTTAGAACTTGAACCATTCTGGGCACAGAGAACTAAACCCCAATAGCAAAATCATGTCCTTTTGCTTTTGATGAAGAGTCCTATCACTTAACTAAAGTTCTGGGGACTGAATTTTCTCTTAGTGCAATTGTAGGAATGCTCATAACGGAAAAACTAACTGTGACTTCTAAAAACATTTGAAAGAAAAAAATTCAAAAAATAAAAATTTCAAAGGAAACTTGTTGGGAGTCCAATTGTTTTAAGGACTTGTATATTTTAAAGTTCAAAACAGCACTGGAATGTTGTAAAAAGGACATAAATACTATTCTCTGTCACAGTTTAAAAACATGAATTAGGCATGTATGTAAATAATATACCTTAAGTTTATAAAGAAACTTATATTAGTTACAATTTATGAATCCTTTCCTCCTTAAATTCTATATTTTGAATATAATATTAACATAGTCTACCTCTTCCCTATGATAGGTAGATTACCACTGCACTTTGTTTAGGTATAATTTTGAGATATGTTTATAACATTTTTAAAGAACTTCAATTAAAAAGTTAAGTCTAAATCGGTTTTATAACTCTGGTAAAATTCTATTTTATAGAAGTTTTATGTAAATAATAATAAGATATTAATACTATTTATTAATAACATGTTTATAAGTATTCTCAACATTTAAGTTAAAATATACAAAAAAAAAATCTTGTTTTTTTTTTTTTTTAAATACCAGTCTTCCGGTATCCTAAGTTCAAAATGGCTATGAACCAAAAAATATATGGCAGATATTTGTAGGTGTTGCCACCTAACCAGGGCACCCACTCAAACTCAATTTATTTAGTTTGCATAAAATCAAGACTCAGAAAGGACAGATCCAGTCTTCTACAATTACTGAACAACACAGTACCATTTTCAGGCTAGATTAGTATTCCTAGTAAAACCTGTTCTTCTAGCCACGTGCCAGACCTTATAGATAACTTTAACATTTCTTCTATACACACTCCAAATACCTGAAAATGCTGAAGAAACTGTAACATTTAAAAAAATGCATAGCTGAATTTGCACAGAGATTTCCCAGAGGCCAGAACTGAAAACCAAGAATTGCACTAAGCACATGAGCTGACAGTGTAGCTGCCAGGGGTGGGACCTATGGAAGAGGGATGGAGTGAAGAATAATAGCTAGTCTTGATAAAATGGAGGCTTGGGATTTGACGCCTTCATGGAGAAAGGGGAAATCTTAGGTCTACATGTGGCAAGAGATTGGAATTGAGAGGCTTTATACAGATTAGGCCACTTGAGCAGCTAGTCTTTTAGTAAATGGATGGACTTTTTTTTTTTTAAGATTTTATTTATTCATGAGAGACAAAGGGGAGGAGGGGGGGGAGAGAGAGAGAGAGAGAGAGAGAGAGAGAGAGGCAGAGTCACAGGCAGAGAAAGAAGCAGGCTCCATGCAGAGAGTCTGATGTGGGACTCAATCCTGGGACTCCAGGATCAGGCCCTGGGCTGAAGGCAGGCACTAAACCCCTGAGCTACCCAGGGATCCCAGTAAATAGATGGACTTGAAAAGAAAATGCCTTCTGGGAAAGATAGCAAAGACATGTGCTGGAGAAAGCCTATGCTCTGAAGTGAGGAGAAAAATGTTTCCTCTGAATTCTAAGTCGTGGGCATATGTACTATGCAAACACCAACTGAAAAAAGAGCTTAAGTGGCTATATTACTATCAGATCAAATATATGTTTAAGGCAAAATGAATAAAGAAGATTGCTGCATTATGATAAAATGAACAACTCATCAGAAAAATGTAACAGTTCTGAAACTGTTGTACCTAATAAGATAGCCAAAAATATAAAAAGTGAAATTTAGCAAAATTATAGAGAAGATGACATGTCTACAATCAGAGGGACATCTTGCTGTAGTAACGGAAGTCATCCAGACCAAAATGTAGTAAGGATACTGAAAATAGGAACAACCAAATTAACAAAATCAAGGGATTGAATGAAAATGAAATTCCACATTTAACAAAGAATATATATTCTTTTCCATTCACATAAGAAACATATATTTAAACTGATCACATACTAAGCCACAAAGGAAGCTTAAGATATTTCAAAGAATTATTAAGACCACAAAAATTCTCCATCAAATGTTTGGGAAACTGAAAAACACATTTTTCAAATAATTCTTGGATCAAAGGAAAAAAATTGGCTACATTTATAACTGAATGACAGTGAAATGTTTGGACTGCCAATACCAAACTTTGCAATTTGGTTAAAACAGTTATCATAAAGAAATCTACAGTTTCAAATACACAAATTAGAAAGGAGAAAAGGCATCTACTGAGTGCTTAAGGAAAGGAAAAGAATAACAGTAAATCCTATAAAAGCAGATAGAGACATGAGCAGAATTTAATGAAACAGAGAATACCTAACAATATTAAATTTCTGCAGAGAAATCAGTGTGTCTATTCCTTTAAGTGCTTACTAGATGGAAAGACAAAATATTTTTATGATCCAATGTAAATGATGAGTGGCTTTTATATACAGTGTTGTAAAAACCTATCAGATACTGATTGGCTACTAGGAGCCAGTTAATCCTCAAAATAATTCAAAGAGGTATTGTACCTACTTTTAAAATGAAACTGTAACTCTGTGAGATGATGGATGTATGTGGTAATCATTTTGCAATACATACATACATATATCAAATCATTATGTTGCACACCTAAAATAAATACAATGCTTTATGCCAATTATATCTCAATAACACAGCAGGAAAAAAATAAATGAAGTCACAGAGTGGTTAAAGAACTGGCATGTGGTTGCACAGTTGGCAAGTGGAGGAGCCAGAATTTGAACACAGCTTTGTTGACCCAAAACCTCATGCTCTCCTACTTAGCCTCAATGCCCCTCCCTCCTTTTTTACTTTTAATTTTGAGATTATTATACAGTCACACCATGTTGTAAGAATAATACTGACGGGTCACATATGTTTCTCAAACACTTTCCCCCAGTGGCAACATCCTACATAACTGTAATATATCATCACAGGAAACTCACACTGATACAGTCTGCTGACCTTTTCCACTTATCATCAGTTTTATATGCACTCATGTACACACGTGTTTCTATGCAACTTTATCACATGTATATCTGTTACCACAACCACAGCCAAGATACATAATAGTTCATTCACCAACATCCTTTATGCTACTATTTAACTGACACAGTCACCTTCCCATCTTCCTCCCTTAATTCTTGAAAACCACTACTCTGTGCCTCTGTGATTCTGTCATTTCAAGAATGTTACATAAATGGAATCATATAGGATGTAATTTTTGAAATCACCTCTTTTTACTTGCACACTGCCCTTGAGATTCATCTAAATTGTTGCACGTATCAATAGTTTGTTCCTTCTTATTGATGGGTAGTATTCCATGGTATGGATGTACCAGTTTGTTTAACCGTTTACCTACCGAATGGATTATTTCTAGTTTTTAGCTATCACAAATAAAGCTGCCATGAACATGTGTGTGTTTGTGTGAACATAAGTTTTCCCTTCTCTGAGGTAGATGTCCAAGAATGCAATTGTTGGGTTGTATGATAAGTTCATACTTAGTTTTATAATTTTTATAATTTTTTATAATTTTTTCCAGAGCAGTTGAACCCTTTTATATTCCCACCAGCAGAGTGATCCAGTTTCTCTGCATCCTTGCCAGCATTTGGTGTAATATGATTTTAGCCATTCTGATTGGGTGTAGTGGTTGGTATTGCATTGTGGTTTTAATTTGCATTTTCCTAATTCCATACTTTTTCATGTGCTTATTTACTATCTGGATACCCTCTTTCTTAGGATGTTCATGCTCATCCATGTCTTTTGCCCATTTTCTATTAGGTTGGTTTTACTGTTGACTCTCTGTTTTAAGTGAAGATATTTCATTAAAAGTATAGTTGGATGAAAAATAAAGCATGAGTTTGCAAAGAATCTTGTGGATTTTTTGGACAGAGAATGCTTCACACTTGAATGTTTTGTAATACTGATTAAAGGATCTACTTAGCTGTTTGTTAACTTTTGTCCCAACAGGTATTCATATATAAACCACAGCGAAGGGCAGCCCAGGTGGCTCAGCCCACAGCCACAGCCACAGCCACAGCCGCCTTCAGCCCAGGGAGTGATCCTGGAGACCCAGGATTGAGTTCCACGTCTGGCTCCCTGCACAGAGCCTGCTTCTACCTCTGCCTATGCTCTGCCTCTCTCTCTCTCTGTGTGTCTCTCATGAATAAATAAAAAAATCTTAAAAAAAGAATAAACCACAGTGAATCAAACAGGTAGTTTGTTCCTATGTTTTAATACTGTAGGCTCCCACAAATAGCACTTTAAAATATTTTTTTATTTGTGTATGGATGACACACAATGTTACACTTCTTTCAGGTATATAATGACACAGTCATTCAACATCTCTATACATTATGTTCTGCTCACCACAAGTGTAACTGCCATATGATGCTATTACAACTGTCACCATACAACACTTACAGTATCACTGACTGTATTCCCCATGCCGTACCTTTTATTCCTATGACTTATTCATTCCCTAAGTGAAGTCTGATCTCCCACTCCCCTTCACCCATCTTGCCTATCCACCAATCCCTTCCGTTAATCATCAATTTGTTCTCTGCATTTGTAGGTATGATTCTTTTTGTTTATTCATTTGTATTGTTTTTTTAGATTCCACACATAAGTGAAATCATATAGTATTTGTCTTTCACTAACTTCACTAAGTCTAATTCCTTCTAGGTCCATCTATGTTGCTGCAAATGGCAAGATCTCATCCTTTTTTATTGTTAATATTCTATTGTATATATACATACCATGTCTTCTTTATCCATTTATCTACTGATGGACTCTTGGGTTGCATGTATCTTTTTGAATTAGTGTTTTCGTTTTCTTTGGGTAAATACCCAGTAGTGCTTATTAAATCATTTAATATTTCTATTTTTAATTTTTGAGGAACCTCCATACTGTTTTCTACATTGGCTGATGATTAGTGACGGTCTGCTGGCCATCTGTATGTCTTCTTTGGGAAAACTGTTTATTCGGGTTCTTTGCCCATATTTTAATCAGACTGATTTTTTTGGTGTTGAGTTGCATAAGTGGTTGATATATTTTGGATATTAACCCTTATAGGATATATCATTTGCAAATATCTTCTCCCATTCAGTGGGCTGCCTTTTACTTTTGTTGATGGTTTCCTTTGCTCTGCCAACCCTTTTTATTTTAGTGTAGTCCCAACAGTTTGTTTTGGCTTCGTTTTCTTTGCCTTAGGAGACATTATCTAGAAAAATGTTGCTAAGGCCAATGTCAATGAATTTACTGCTTGTGTTCTCTTCTAGGAGTTTTATGGCATCAGGTCTCACATTTGGGTCTTTAATCCATTTTGAGTTTATTTTCCACAAATACCACCATTTGAACTGGAAAAAAAATTGATGATCACAGAGTTTTAAGAAGTGTTACACATTCTTCTATTGTGATGTAAGCCATGACCTCTTCAGGGTTCCCTCATCACACTCCTACTTCTAGTACCAGACTTGCCACAGCACCTTCTCAATTACCCCTGCAAGTATTTTCTTTCAATTGATGTCTAATGCAGTGCTTGGCACACAGAAAGAGCCCATTGTTTGCTGAATAAATGCTAAAAAATCAGAGGCTGGTGCTCAAACACAGACAAGCATCTTTCTGAGGGTTTGTAACATCTTATTGTTCTTTAGGTAAAAGAAGATTTTATTTTATTTTTTTTAAATAAATTAATTTTTATTGGTGTTCAATTTACCAACATACAGAATAACACCCAGTGCTCATCCCGTCAAGTGTACCCCTCAGTGCCCGTCACCCATTCACTCCCACCCCCTGCCCTCCTCCCCCTCCACCACCCCTAGTTCATTTCCCAGAGTTAGAAGTCTTTATGTTCTGTCTCCCTTTCTGATATTTCCCACACATTTCTTCTCCCTTCCCTTATATTCCCTTTCACTATTATTCATATTCCCCAAATGAATGAGAACATACACTGTTTGTCCTTCTCCGATTGACTTACTTCACCCAGCACAATACCCTCCAGTTCCATCCACGTTGAAGCAAATGGTGGGTACTTGTCGCCTCTAATGGCTGAGTAATATTCCACTGTATACACAAACCACATCTTCCTTATCCACCCATCTTTCGATGGGCACCGAGGCTCCCTCCACAGCTCGGCCACTGTGGACATGGCTGCTAGAAACATCGGGGTGCAGGTGTCCCGGCGCTTCACTGCATCTGAATCTTTGGGGTAAATCCCCAACAGTGCAATTGCTGGGTCGTAGGGCAGGTCCATCTCCAACTCTCTGAGGAACCTCCACACAGTTCTCCAGAGTGGCCGCACCAGTCCACACTCCCACCAACAGTGCAAGAGGGCTCCCCCCTCTCCGCATCCTCTCCAACATTTGCTGTTTCCTGCCCTGTCAACCTTCCCCATTCTCACTGGTGTGAGGTGGTATCTCATTGTGGTTTTGACTTGCATTTCCCTGATGGCAAGTGATGCAGAGCATCCTCTCATGTGCATGTTGGCCATGTCCATGTCTTCCTCCGCGAGACTTCTCTTCATGTCCCCTGCCCATTTCATGATTGGATTGTTTGTTTCTTTGCTGTTGAGTTTAATAAGTTCTTTATAGACCTTGGAAACTAGCCCTTTATCTGATATGTTATCTGCAAATATCTTCTCCCATTCTGTAGGTTGTCTTTGAGTTTTGTTGACTGTATCCCTTGCTGTGCAAAAGCTTCTTATCTTGATGAAGTCCCAATAGCTCATTTTTGCTTTTGTTTCTTTTGCTTTCGTGGATGTATCTTGCAAGAAGTTACTGTGGCCAAGTTCAAAAAGGGTGTTGCCTGTGTTCTCCTCTAGGATTTTGATGGAATCTTGTCTCATATTTAGATCTTTCATCCATTTTGAGTTTATCTTTGTGTATGGTGCAAGAGAGTGGTCTAGTTTCATTCTTCTGCATGTGGATGTCCAATTTTTCCAGCACCATTTATTGAAGAGACTGTCTTTCTTCCAGTGGATCGTCTTTCCTCCTTTATCGAATATTAGTTGACCATAAAGTTCAGGGTCCACTTCTGGGTTCTCTATTCTGTTCCATTGATCTATGTGTCTGTTTTTGTGCCAGTACCACACTGTCTTGATGACCACAGCTTTGTAGTACAACCTGAAATCTGGCATTGTGATGCCCCCAGATATGGTTTTCTTTTTTTAAAATTCCCCTGGCTGTTCGGGGTCTTTTCTGATTCCACACAAATCTTAAAATAATTTGTTCTAAGTCTCTGAAGAAAGTCCATGGTATTTTGATAGGGATTGCATTATACGTGTAAATTGCCCTGGGTAACATTGACATTTTCACAATATTAATTCTGCCAATCCATGAGCATGGAATATTTTTCCATCTCTTTGTGTCTTCCTCAATTTCTTTCAGAAGTGTTCTATAGTTTTTAGGGTATATTTTGAGAACCATTTGAATGGTAAATGGTTCTCCAACCTTTTATTTTCAGGTTGTAGGTGTCCTTCTGTCTAAAATGAGTCTCTTGTAGACAGCAAATAGATGGGTCCTGCTTTTTTATCCAGTCTGAAACCCTGCGCCTTTTGATGGGGTCATTAAGCCCGTTCACGTTCAGAGTTACTATTGACAGATATGGGTTTAGTGTCATCATGATATCTATTTAGTCCTTGTTTTTGTGGATTGTTCCACTGAGTAAAAGAAGATTTTAGAACCACAACTTATAGTAGACTGAAAAATGGAAAACTGAGGAGAATAACCTAAGAAAGCAAGACATATTTTAAATATCTTTTTGCACCCAAATGTTACTTTATTAAATTGTCCTATAGATTAAAATATTATTTCAGAAAAGATTTCATACAGGTTAAACTGATAATAAAAAATAATAAATATTTAGTAAGCACTTAATATGTGCCAGGCACTCCAACATAAAAAATTTTATTATTACTATTGTCTATTTAAATAATAAAGAAAATTAAAAAAAATATGTGGTCTGGTCAAATCAGCAAAAGTGTTCCACAATCAAGGCGAAAACCTGGTAATAACAGCTCCTGAAACAGCCAGCATTCCCTTACAGACTCTATCAACAGAACAGGGGGAAATGAAAGAGAAGAATATATGCAAACTGATAAGCAATTGTCTGCAGTCCTTTTAGACATTAGTGATGCAGAAATAGAAAACGATATTTTGAATACTGACAAATATCAAGGGATTTGCACGTTAGAAGGAGATTTTCAGATGCTGAGAAAGCATCTTCCTCCTACCCCTCATTCTCTAGAAGACTGCTCACATCTGACTCAGTTTTATAGAAAGCCCATCATGTTATCTTGTTCAGGGGGCTGGACGGCAGTATATCCTTCATTTCACCCTTCTGACAAAAAAACAAATGATAAAAAATGACTGTAAAGAAAATTCCAGTTCCACTGCAGGGCTTAATACTCACTGAGTTCTGTGTATCACACAACTTACACCTGAATTTGCATTTATTGCTATATTTGAAGCATAGCTCAATATTGATGTTTATAATGATAGCTATCATTCCTCAAGGAAAGGTAAAATTATATTGAAAGCACTGTTTTCAAAGGCAGGGAAGACATCACATTTTAGAACATTTTCCATATATTAAGGAAATCTTAAAAATGATTTGGTTACAGTGATACAGAAAACTTGTTTATTCAGAATGTCTAATTCCTAGATGACTCTGGATAAGAACGGTTTTGGTTGATGTGTGATACATAAACACACAACAGAGGCATGTGTGTGTGTGTGTGTGTGTGTGTGTGTGTTAGACAGAATAATGCGCTATGCCCCCAAACACCTCCACATTCCAATCCCTGGAACCTCTGAATATGTTACCCTTACAGGGTAAAAGGGATTTTGCAGATATGATTAAGTTAAGGATCCTGAGATGAGGTACTTACTCTGGGATTTTATGGGTGGGCTGGATAAAAGCACAAGAGCTTTTTAAGAGGGAAGTAGCAAGATAGATAGGAGATGTCAAGGAGTCAGTGAGGTGGAGGAAGAGTGAGGTGAGGAAGCAAGAAGCCAGAGTGATGGGGCCATCATCCAAGGAACGCAGTTGGTCTCAAGAAGCTGGAAAAGGGTCTGGGTGGCTCAGCAGTTGAGTGTCTGCCTTCAGCTCA